AAATGCTTATCCTAAGACTACAAAACAAATCTGCTTGACATATTTTCGAAACTTTCAACTACGCTTATTGACGAACGTTCGCTCCGATGAAAGTCAACTTCCTATCGACCGTCCATCTAAATAAGCACACCATTGTCAAAGCTAATAGGAGACAAAAAAGGCGACGCGTAAAAGATTCGGTGCCACAAAAATCACTGGGGTGGCCAATTGTCTGTGTAATGTTCAAAGGGGTTGGTTGCCCGTTCCCCCGGCACCCTCTGACTCTGACTCTCACTCTCAAAGCCGTTCTGTCTAGTAAAATCGACCAGCGCACTATTCGCATTGCCCTGGGCTTATTAGCATTTAAGGAACATATCAGACAAACTCGTGGAAGTGTGGGAGAGGGGACCGGGGCCAAGTGGGTGGTAAGGATAACGTCCTCGAGACCTAACTATTCACGGTACTTTTTTTGTAATAGAGTGCAAGAGTTATTGGGGTTGCAATAGGCCGACAGGGCGGGATGTCTACTCTTTTGCGTATTTATCTGGATGCGTCTTTTGAATGATTGTGAGGTCACTTAAAAATGCTCTTGCCAGTTCGATTACTTTATTGTTTAAATTCGAGATCGGTTAAGCGAAAATGAGTCTCGTATAAATGGGAATTGCAATTGCCTTGCATAATTACGTAATTTAAAGAACAAAAAAAAAAATGAGAAGAAGAAAGGAAGGTAAAATAAAAAAGAAGAAAATTAAAATACTTGCTGCGATAGAACGCAGTTAATAAATGAAATTTTAATTTAATGTATAAAAGTGTAAGACAATATTTGTATTTTATACGTCTCGTAGAGATCGAAATTTTACTCATACAAATTTTGAAAATAGTAGATGCTAAAGTTTATGTTGATCAATAATTTATCATACGTAATTTCTTTTATCTTTAGCTTCATACAGGATTCTAAAAAGCAAACGATAATTTAAAAATCTACCCGTTACTCGAGTCATTAAATGTATAATTTTTCTAATATAAAATAACTTTAAATTACTGCCATTTTCACATAGTTGTCATAGAACTTAAACATTTTTTTTTTTTTTTATCAATGTATTACTTCACATAGTGTCGTATTTATATTTTATTAAAAAATGAAAAAGAAGTAATGATGTACTACTTAACAAATAACTGAAATGCCGAAATAGTCAAATAAAATTTGAAATTCATATATTTGTTTCTATACTTTAGATCATCTAAAATTAATACTAATTGAAATGAACAAACGATTAATGAAATTTAAAATACCGTTTTATCGATACATTAACATTAATTATGATATTTTCAAATCGGTTATTTATTATTTAATACCATACAGTTCTCCGTATATATAGTCTAAAGCGTTTTATTATTATTTTAATCGAATTAAGCTCTTAGTCGATATCTAAAATTCGTACATTAATTTTATTAAAATTGTTGAAAATGGACAATTAATAATTAATGCGGAGTAAGTAATAAATATCCTATATGAATAATGTATTTAAGAATAAATAAATATTTTCAGCTTATTTTCTGATAGAATATCTGCTGTTTTTTCACTAAAGACATTGAGATTTTTCTATTTTTAATATTTTCATGGTATTACGAAAGAGAGAGAGAGAGAGAGAGAGAGAGAGAGAGAGAGAAAAGAAGAAGAAAAAGGGAATACAATTTTATACAAATTTTCATTTATATCGGTTTCAATGAATAATTATAAATTGTAATTAATACTCTGTTTAACATTCTTATCAATTTATCTTCTTGTTTGATTTGAGGAACATTCTGTTGAATGCCTTTGTCTGTCATGAGAATTTTTTTTTTTTTTTTTTTTTTTTTTTAACTGGAACTTTAATAACTTATGTATCTCAAAGGGAAGATTTTCTTCTTTTTTTTTTACTGATTAAACTATCTGTACTTGAATTACTTTATTTTGTAGAAAATGCATGTAAATGATTATAATTAAAAAATTAGTTACTGTCAGTATATTTGTATGCAACGCAAGGGAATATAATTTATAATTTATACTTGAATATTCATTAAAATACAAACTATTTGACGACTGTTTGAAAAATGTATTACTGAATAAAATTTTTAAATAATATAATCATAAATTTAAACTATAAAAAATATTAAATTTCTTTAATAAATGAAATTGAAATGGAGTTAATAAAAAAGTAAAAGTTAAATAGCGTGATTAATTGAATATAATTTAAATTGGGAATTATTTACTCACAGTCTATTTGAATCTTTGTATTAAATTTTAAGTTTCATTGGGTATTTTAAATGTTATATCGATCGATTAAGTCAAAGCATTAATTACTTAATAATAAATGGTGAGCAGCGATTAAATCTTTTATTATTTTAAGAGTCTTACAATTAAAAAAAAAAAAAAAAAAAAAAAAAAAAAAAAAAACGAATACTATCATTATTGCAGGGATTATTACTTGATTTTCTTATCTATCGTACGGATAATTTTTACAAATTAGAACAGTTTATCAGAGATGTATTTATAATCCCATAAACATTTGCAAGTGTCAAGTGATAACGTTCGTTACCTATTTGAATTTTTGAAATCCTTTGAAAAGCAATAGTCGCAATTATTTTAAGATAATTTTATTATAATATTGATATTATTCGTTTAAAATTATATTCAGACTGCAATGCTAATCCGCGGTAAGGACTCGTAGTCTATTAATAAATTTATTTTTTATTATTTGCAACGACGCTTGTCGAACGTAAATATAATTGAATTATATTTTGTTATCTTTGATTTTAATATTCATTGTATATTTAAATCGCCTATTTATCGCCAATAATAACAGTTCGTTAAAAAAACATATCAATATTTTATTAAATCTTGATAAATAATTATGATTGATAATGAATATAATTAAATAACTGCCTAGAACATGTATATATTCACAAAATTTTTATTCCATTAAATTATATAATCCTTATGTACTTTCTGTTGTTATTAAAATCGCGTTTTAAACGTAATCTAAAGTATATATATATATATACATATATATATAATGCAGAAATTATATCTGCAGCTTTTGGTTTATTTATTATGTCGAATGAAATACAATGATTAACAAAGAAACTGCATTTCTTACAATACAAATAACAAGATTTTTATTAAAAAAATATTTTGCTATGATGCGCATAAAGCAATCGAAACTTTTACTATTACTAAAACACATTTGAATTAAACTTTTTATTTTGTCTTTTTCATCTTATTTTTACAATATAAATGTTAATATTGTGATATAAATAAATCTGTAGCGTAGCAGTTAATTAATGAAATAATACTAGCCATAAATTATCCGTGATAGCTAACGTTCACTCACACGAGTAGATATATAAGAATTTATTTATTCAAGAAACATGTTACGGTTATGATTTATTGTATTATTATAGATAGAGCGTTTAACAATTTTAATTTTTAAATTTTAGTATTTTGCATTAATGCGTTTGAAAAAAGAAAAAAAAGTTAATTGCATATAATACCTTATTCTTTTAATCTGCTATCCATGATTTTTTGTTGATAATGAATGTTGATAATGAAGTATGTCAGGTTTATTGCATAATACAACTTATACAATAAATTGAAAATATTTTATGTACACTATGAACAATGAAATTAATGCAAAATATGGAATTTGATTACGTTTAGCTTAATTGAATTGTTCATATTTTAGATGATAAAGTAAACTATTTATTCACAAGTTTATATAAATGAAATATAATTATAATTATAATAATATGTATCAACATTGGGCGTCTAGCGTCAAAAGTTTTTAACAAGGAGTTGCAGAAATAAGATAATTTATCGTGATAATATAATAAGATTTTTAATATTATCGTGAAAGCTTCAAGAGCCTGTGGAATGAAAGTAGATGAAAAATATTTTTAAGCGCATATTTAATAGAATTAAATATCATCAAAAAAAGCACGTTATCCTTGAAAAAAAGATATTAATTATAATATGCCGATATAGAGTGACGTACAGCTACAATAGTTATTTTAATAAAGAATCGAAAAAAGTGCAAAAAAAAGCAACAACAACAAAAAATACAGAAATTTTGGTTACTAACTATCTGAAAATGTTTGATTTTTAATATGTGCAAACTCTAATAACTAGCACATGTCAATCAAGAATTTTAATATCATATCCGTTAAAATTCATAAGAAAAATCGCAGACAAGTAATACTGTACAATTAAAATAATCTGCTTACGTACATCAATTCTGAAAATTGTATGAAACCTTAAAATTGATTAACCATGTTTTCCCACTATTAATGCCTTTTATCAAAACTTTTTTCCTTCACACTCGTCTGTATGAAAAAGAAAACTTTGTTAACATTACTTCATCAATGATTGGTAATTTTTATTCATTCTGCATTTGTACTTCTTTTTTTTTTCTTTTTTCGACAATAACGACTATTAACGTGCAATTATATAATTTCAAACTCCCTCGAACGAATATATTAAATTTCTTATTGAAAAAAAACACTGCTCATAAAAATTATTTTAATATCTATTTTGAGTTATTCCAATGATATACAAATGTTAAGTTTATTGTACAATCGTTTGAGATTATTTATTCGAACAATCTAGGTTGTATCGCGCTTGATTGACGAACAATTAAAGTTTTCATTAAAAAAAACTTTATATATAACTTATAGCTATATATATAAATATATATGTACGTATATGTACGTATATGTACGTATATGTATGTATATGTATGCACATAACGGAATGATAAAATTAAGCATCAAATGATCCGAGCAATAATAATCCCCCTAATCGAATGACCACTGTTGTAACCTGTCACCCTATACGGCATCGAAAATTGCTGTGCGAAAAAATTTTCGTCCTTGAAAATGGAGCTTATCCAGTGTCATCAGCTTCTCTCATCTCGAACATAATACAAAACTACATGCATATATAATACGTTTAGGAGCCCACTCGGGACTACTACTCGATTTACCTGAACCTGATCGTTTTTCGTGTTGGCAGCCACCCAGGCTTCGGCGAAGGTCTCCATCGCGCTCTGAAAATCCATCACCTTCCCCCGTAATAGGGCCAAACTCTGCACTCTCTCTCTCTCTCTCTCTCTCTCTCTCTCTCTCTCTCTCTCTATGTCTGTCTGTCTCTGTCTCTGTCTCTCTTTTCTTCTGTCCTCCGAGCCTTTCTCTTCCCTTCACCTTCCTCTTCCTCTACCACCTCCTCCTCCTGTCCTTCTTCTTCTTCTTCTTCTTCTTCTTCTGATCCTTCTCTCTCACTCTCCTCTCTCTCTCTCTCTCTCTCTCTCTCTGTCTATCTATCGATCTATCTATCTATCTATCTATCTATCTATCTATCTATCTATCTCTTTCTTTGTACGTGGACTTGACCTTCTCTTTCAGTATCCTCTCGTCATTACAAAAGCTGCTGCCACTGCTGCTGCCGCCGTCTCCGCCGCTGCCGCCATTCGTACTCCTCCGCCTCTTTGACTTCTCTCGATTACTCTTCGTTTCTTCTCCCTCCCCCCCCCCCCCCCCCCCCCCCCCCCCGTCCCCACTCATCGGGCGCTCTTTCTCCGCGCTCGTTTCTTTTACCTTTACGACATGCCGCAACACAGGGGCCAACCTCGAAAAATCACGGCAGGGCGAGTCGCAAGTACAGTCGGCATCCTCGTGCCACTCACCGTTCAGACGTTCTGCCCCCTATCCCGGATTAACCTGGACATGTGCGTGCGTAAGTTCGCACTCCCGTATAAGCCTCTATCTCCCAGCGGCTTTCCTTATCTCACGCTCGTTTCTCGAATCGCTATCCACGCACACCTGAAATTAAGCACTCGCAACGTCACCGGATGCTACCACTGATGCTACCATGCGCAGATAAATGTATCGCTCCACCCGGTTATTATGCAGTCACAGAGTTTGGATTCGGTCGCTTTGCATCGAATTCTCGGCTTATCGTAAATTACGCGGTCGACACACGTGTACATTACAATAGTCCTCTCTCTCTCTTCTCCATCTTACCCCCCAACCCATACCATTCCATCCCATCCCATCTCATCCCCCGTCCTTACGCCTATCGACGTATCCCGTATTTACGTTATACCGATATGAGTCACACGCACACGCGCACAATCTCACATTCACGCGCGCACGCACGAACGCACGAACGCACGAACGCACGAACGCACGAACGCACGAACGAACGCACGAACGTACGAATGCACGAACGCACGGATGGACGCACGGACGGACGCACGCTCGTGCGTAATTACGTGGACGGGCGTGTATGTGTATGGAGATGGAGGTGGCCGCGAGCGCAAATAAACGACGATGCGGCGAACGACGACTCAGGCTCCGGCAATAATTAGCGAGAGCAGGAGGAGGATCGAGCCTCTTCGGCTAACGACCACTTAGCAGGATTTAACGATGGCTAAGCTCGCGTATAAACTAGCCCCGGCCGTGGGCCACGAGAGTGTCATTGGGAGGCCGAGGTCGAACGAGCACCGTGCGCACCAGTGTCCACGACAGTCCCAGGGAGGTACTGGAGTCGCGCGCACGACCCGCCAAGAGTGCGTGCGTCTCGTGTGCGAGGCATGCGGCGCTCGAGCCGCGACTGAGCCGAGGCCGACGCACGCAGTCCCCGGCGTCGCGGCGCCCCCTTCCCAAGTCGCTCGGGCCCCCTCCAGCGCCGCGACGCGCGTACCTAACGCCGGGGCAATTACGCGAAAGGCGCGAGAGGCGCGAGAGCCGCTCGATTGGTGCCCCGGAGCCCGTGAGTCCACCCCCCGTGTCTCTGCCTTGCCCTCCGTGATAAGGAGAGCCGTGGCCCGGGGGCGGGAGGAGATTAGGGGCCGCCGCGTGGCGGGAGAGGGATGCTCCATGCGCTCCTCGGCCGCTCCCGACCGCCCTCCCCTGCCCCACCACGGTCCAGCTGAGCGCGCTCTTTTCGTCGATCGTCGAGGAGGCTCCGCGCCCCTTCACCAGGACTCTGCCGGCAGTCTCGCCAACCTCCGTGCTTTCCCTCTCGGTCCTACCATTGCGCCCCACGAGCCTCTCCTCCGCAGCCACGCTCCCCTGGAATGGGGTAACCCGAGGCTCGTAGTCGGTGGGGCTGGGGGCGGGGGGTTTTACGGAGCGACGGGGCGGCCAAGAGGGAGGGACGGCCGCGGGAGGAATCCGGAACTGGCCCAGCCGACGACCACCCTACGGGATGACTTTTGTTTGGTCGAGGCAGCCTCCGTCTCCTTCGCTATTAGCCCAAGCCGCTTTCTATCTCTCTCTCTTTCTCTCTATCTCTCTATCTCTCTATCTCTCTATCTCTCTCTCTCTCTCTCTCTCTCTCTCATCACCTCTCTCTATCTCATTCCTTTTACAAACGACATGCGTGACGATCCTTTGCTCTTAACGGTCCCCTAAGCGATCGACTTTTTCACAAACCAACTTCAGCTACATCAGGATATGGCAACGAGAGAAAGAGAGAGAGAGAGAGAGAGGAAAGAGGAGGCCCTACTGATTCCCGCATTTCACGTATGTTGACGTTCCGCATCCGCATATATATTACAAATTCAAAAGACTTTCATTTTGAAAATCATATCCTTAAGATTGCAAATAAATGTTGTAAATGTAAATGTTTCTACGTCGTCTGGCTGATTAATGTTTTTTGAAGGATGAATATTTTTCAAGACTCGCTATACGCGTTAAATGCTTTGAATTATAATTTGCAAGCACAATAACTTTTGCAATCGTTATGGATAATGAACGCCACCTAGTAAAATCTTTTCTAAGGAAACGCGAAAGCACTAAGAGCCGATGATGTAGAGACTAAGTAAGTCGAAAGATATTTTCACGAAGATGAATGACACGTTTTGCTTATTTATTTATTTTTCTCTTTATATTTTTTTTTGTTTTTTTTTTGTTTTTGTTATTGTTTTTCTTGTTTTTGTTTTTTATTGTTCAATATGTCATAACAATCATGTTTAGAAATTGGATATGGAGTAATGAAAATACCTGTAGTAGCCGTTGTAACATTATATTAATTTGATGATTAACTTTGATTTGATTTGATTAACGGTGTATCGAATTTAAAAATAGGCAATAAAATTGGCTATTAAAGTCGTTTCATTGAATTGCGCAAAGTGATTATACCGATCTTTTCCAATAGTCGTAAAAATGATTTTACCCTCCTGTTAGTTAAACCTAACATCGATTAGCCAAGCAACGAATTCAACGAAGTCAAAATATCAAATGCGAGCATTTAGTAGATGGACATGGTATCGTACATCACACCGACACAACCTTAGTCGCGCATCTTCAATACTCTAATTGTGATAGTAGAGGAGAAGCGAAGAGAAGGGTGAGATGAGCACGTCCAAGGTCCAGGAGGAAAATTAAACGGGGAAATCTTGCGTACGAGGCGTCGGGGAGACGCTACTCGGTGCCCAGTCGTTCCGTGCACTCCCGATGACTCTCCATTCTCGTTCGCCCCCCTGGCCACTTCTCGCGCCCCCACAATCCCGCCCCGCCACTGTCCACCTACTTCCGGCGCGTTATCGCGATTGCGAAGAGGAGGACGGACGAACGAGCGCGGGAGGATATCGACGCGCACGTCGGCGAGCGCTCAGCATTACTGGACTCGCGTGAGCCCATCTTGGTCCAACGACTTGAAACGGCCTCTACGTCCGCTAGATTTTAAGCTGCTTAATATCCTTAGAACGCAGGATCGCGTGTAATTGCGTAACTCGATACTTTGATCGAGGCATCGACCTTTTCGGCCGAACGGGTGATTAAAAATTTAAATGCAACGATGAGAGGTCCGAGCTCTTGGACGCCACGGTACATGGAATTTGGAATTTGTGCGACTGTGGAGTGAGAAATCACGCTGCTACAGTGACATAGACATTTTGCCATTTAGGAATAACTATTTACTAATTATAATTCCAGTAGCTTAAGAGAATGTTGCCGTTACAGGAGCTAGTACGGAATATTTAATTTTTTTTTTTTTTTTTTTTTTTTTTTTTTTTTTGTACAACTAATAATGAATAACGTTTAGCGAAGATTAATATACAATTTTGTGAAATATCATTTAAAATTGTAAGCTTCATCTTCGAAATTATCCCTTTAATTATAAATGTAGCTTTACCTATGCAATCGATACTTTTGTTTGACTTTACGTGTTACGTCTCTGATTTGTAATAAAGGAGGCAAAGTTTTATTACATCGACTCACTCGATTTTACCACTTGAAGGGAACAAAAAAAAAATTTGTTTTTTTGCTTTTATGTTATATTGCCCATTCAGTTAGAATTTTGAAGTTTGAATATGAAATTAATAGGACGGATAATTTGAAGCAGCACCGACGAATATAATTTTGCATTTATGCGTTGTACGCAACTCCTTGAAAAACAGTTAAAATACAGTTTAAATACTCTCTTAAAATAAAGTTGAATTTTCAGGTAAAACAATGTCGAGCAACGTCATCGCCGAGGTTCGCGTTAAGGCAACATATTATAATGTTATAAAAGACAGATTATTTATAGATGCTTTAATCCCGCAGGAACTTGTTCTCGCGACAGTCGATGCTTAACATGACAGACGCCAACATATTCGCATGGAGCAATCTTATAAAAATCCTGTCTTATTATTGTCTTTTTGGCTGTGACGAGCGCTTAGGGACGAGTTTATTCGTGGTAAATATGGAAGTTTCGACGAGGAGTCGCATAAAAGCTCGTGCGGCCCGGCTTCGGCCTCGTCCCCGGCCACCCCTTCTCCTACCAGACGACCTCATAGCGCGTATCATCTCGCATCCGGCCACATTTCACGCGTTCGACGCGCGACGTCGAGACAAGCGGAAGAAAGAAGCGGATCCGTTTCCCGGGCGCGCACCTAAAAAGTACAAACGCGCTCAAAAGCGACGAAAAAGTAAAGCGAGAATAGCAAGGTACGCCTACGCCATATCACCCCCCGCCCCGAATCTCCCACCCTGTACCACCACCGCAACCGTCACCGCAACCGCCACCGCCACCGCCACCGCCACCGCCACCGCCACCGCCAATAAATAAGACCCATGTAAATAGAAGCCGAGAGATAGAGGAGGGAACACGTGCGGAACGACGTCGATCTTAAGGCAGAATCCAAAGTCGCGGCTGGCTCGAGGAGGACTGGCATAACGATTGCATCCGATCGTGGGGCCAGGG